AGCACAGGGCAAAACAAGGGAGCTGTTGGGGAGTGGGGCTCGCAGACAAGTAATTCCAAAGATGTTTGTGTTTGTTCAGGTTCCTAAAAAACTGAAGGAAATAATCTTCTGTTCTGCTATGACAGTGGTTTGTCATGAGTTCCAAAACACTTTACTAGAGGTTTATATTCCGTTAGTTTGTGTGTGGTGTGGGTTGACTCTTTGGTTCTTAGGAGTTCTTTCCTGGGTATTTGCTTGTTGAATGTACTAGAAGAAATGCCATCATGAACAAGGTGCAAGACTTTGCAAAACTTGGTCATTTTTGGAATCCAAATCCTCGAGTGATAAAAGAATAAGAGGCTTCAATTTACTGCATGGTATCTTGTACAAATCGAGCATCTAGAGAGCAAACTGCCTAGAGAGTTGCTGCGTTTTGTTGCAGTTTAGCTAAACTGCTGTTTATGCTAGAAGCTATTAAAATATAATTTACTTGCTTACTTTGTTGTGTCAAATCTATGTAATGAAGCGAGGTGGGTGTTTTCATTTGCAATCTATTGCTTCAAGACATACCAGCACGGTATTGAATTCATCTGAGTCTTGTGCCTGTTAAGCTTTACTAAATCAACCTCTAGTGTGCAAGCTGAAATATTTCTCAGGAAATGAGTTTGGCCCTCAATTTATAGTATGTGCTAACCATAATGAAGTATTGTATGCAGCACATGCTAGAATATAAAGCACTTTCAGGTTATAATATTTTATATTAGAATCTCATATTGTAAAATAATCATTTAGTGTTGAGAAGAAAACAGTGACAGTTTTTTACAGTGAATTAATATGTTTTGGGTCATTTGGATTAGAGTTAAGTATCTAGCCAATATTGCCATTTGCTGAAGAATGGTTTAATAAGTCATAAGTTAGGTCAATTTTGAAATAAAAATTTTGTCTCGATTTATGTTTAATTGTCTTGGAAAACACTGAAATAAAAGTTTTCACTGTGGTTTGTTTTTTTTTTTTTAACAGTTTACTCTTTTCAGAAAAAGATTCTGTTGAGGCCTTCTCTGAAATAACTTAAAGCTCTTCTGATTTTTAGCTTTACAGCATTTTGTATCAGACCGAAAAATTACCAGTTGCAAAGTACGTTTCCACTGGTAATTATGTTTACTTGATATCTAGGTTGTGCTATGTGGGAATAGATTTTGGGCATTCAGTAGAGTCCTGTTGGATGATTTAAATAAAGCTGCTATTTGTGTCACTCTATTGCTGTCTCTTTGCGTGGAATCTCATGAGCTTTATTAATCCTGTTCTAGGTTTGCTTATACTGTCTATGATAGAAATGGACAGCAAGGTCGTTTTAACATGCCCAAAAAGTTTGGGTTTGAGAGTCATGAGATGTGGGATCTGCTCTTTATTCTTCCACAGATTTTCTATTTGATTCTGGCTAAGTAATTCAATCTGGTTTAGTATTTAAAAAATACGTATAAGTAAGCAAGTAATGTTAACTTGTAATCGTTCAATGGCACTGCAGAAGTACTTACTTTAATTGAGATTTCTTTGATATTACACTTTGATATGCCAATACTTGTGGGTTTTATGCTGAATTCTTTTCCTACAGTAAATTAAAGATATGTTATTTGGGTTTTTTTCTCTTTATGGGAGAACAGAAGATCAGATTTCTTGCTTTAGAACTTAAATCAGATTCATTTTTTTAAGTAAAACTTTAAGCTAACAGTACTTTGGTTCTTGAAAAACGTTGTATCTGTCCTGGTTAGAATCCTTTTTACCTTCAGATACTGTTTAAGGTTTCTTGGGCTTTTATTAATCTCCCAAATACCTAGCTATTTTTTATAGTTAATGTACCTCTGCACTGTCTGGCAATGATTGCTTAGCTGGTTGTTGTCACAGGACTTAGGAGATTATGATTTATGGATTTGGGTAAACTACATCTGTGAGTAAAAAGGCAGTATAAAACCTACATGAAATTTAAATCTTAAATAAACTGTATCTTTTCACTATCATACACTGTAATTCACATTAGCGGTCTTTATCCCATGTATGGGGGTGATATACTTGTAGATTAGCAAGTCTTTCAAAATTTTTGAATAGATGAGTATATATTGTGTAGTTCTATTGATTCGTCCAAGATTTCACAAATATTCATTAAAATGAAAGAAAGCAAGTACAATACACAAACAAATCTGGAATCATAATTATCTAACAGACCAGCAAAAATCTGTTGCCATAGAGAAATTGCTTCTTACAAAAATAGAAATATTTTGTGGGGGAAATGTTGGCCACTTTTGTGGTTGCTTACTTTGGGATGCCAACTGGAAGACTGGAAGTGGCTGTTAGTGTATATGATTGTACTAGGTGTGGTTTCCTTGTACTTTCTATTATTATTATTCTACTTCTGCTTTACCATATGGAAGAAATGCGTGCTTTGTAATACAGATTTGAAGGAATCATGGAAATGTTGAAATTCCAAAATTTTAAACAGCAATTTTTGTTGAAATGTAAAAAAATATATATATTGTGAGGTCATGGAAAGATGTTTGAGATTAAAAAAAAGTTTGTTAAAATGTGTGGTGTCAGGATTACACTCTTTATCAGCTTTTTTATTTTATTAATCTGATTCTTCCACTTATAGCTTAAATGGAAAAATTGGATTTGCCTTTGGCTTTAATTCAGTCTATTCTATTCACAGAAAGGTTCACTTGCATGTTGTTACTCCATTAAAAACATTTCACAAATAGTGCCAGCCAGAATTAATAACAGTTAAGTCTAGCATTTTCAAAGACATTAAAAAAAAAAGGGAAAATAACTCTTTTTCTCGTGCATCAGCATTTTCTATTAAAAAAGAAATAATTGGGGCAATTGTATATTTAGTGTCAAAATTGCTGTTGGCTGAGTAACTTACTTTTCCAAATGTTTTTGGCTCACATAATGCTACTGTGGCCCATCTCTGTAGCAGTTCATTCTAGTTCACCTGGATTTATATATTTATCTGCTTGGGAAAAATGATCCTGTCTGTAGTGAAATATGTGTTTCCCCTTCAGATCTATGTTATCTGATGAAATTAAAGTAAAAGCTTTTTAAGAAGTCCATTATAATATCTCTGAAAGACTTAAGACTCAAACTGAAATCTGTCCTCTGCAGGCAAGCAGATTAGCAAGACTAATGGTGGGTGGATGGGCATAATACCTTTTTTTTGCCAAGACCCTGCTGGTCATGTTTCTTCCTCTCCATATGTTGCCCTCTTTTTATAAGCACTGTAGTGGTGTTTGGGGCTTCAGCTGACTGCAGGGTGTCATTGTCAGGAGTGCTGTACGTATACTGAGCAGCAGTCTTGCTCTTGACCGTATTAAAATAGGCGAGGGGAGTGAAAACCGTGAGAAATCATGTGTTGTTCCCACCTTACAGGTAGGGAATTTATCCACCAAGAGTACAGTATCTCTCACAATCATGGAGTCTGAGGAAAAGCCAACCAACCGTCAGAGCAAAGCTTCCTTTGATCTGTGGTGTACAGCAGTCATAAGGCCAGTCTTGTATCGTGTAGTGGAACCAAGCTCTCTCTAACTTCATTTTTGTATTCTAACTTTCCAAAGTGTTTTGCAAAGTCTACAGGGCCTGGTAGTTCCTGTAATAGCAATATTGTTGTTGTGGCTCTAGGGATGGTTTTGTTTGAACTGTAGCCAGTTTCTTGAAAAGAGCTATGATTTTGTGTGCCCAGCTGTATATTTTAAGGCCAGTGACCAACTGGGCACTAAAACCATCAAAATGCTTGTATCCAAACAGCATAAAAATCATAATTATTGATGATAACCAATTCGAGGATTTCCAGAAGTGTTTCTGGTAAAGAAACATTAGCAATTTCTTCAGTAGGAAGGTAAAATAGTGTTTTTTTAATTAAGGTAGTATTGATCCATGATTTCTACAGAAAGCATGGGTGTTTGGATACAGCTTCTAGTGATTTCATTTGTCTCTTGAACGAACACAGGCATAATCATGGATTCTAATTAATTTTCTCTCTCTGTAAACAAATGAGCTGGAGAATCCATTTTTGCTGATACAAAGCTAAACATTCAGGGTTAATGGGTGAATCATGATTAAAAAAATTGAAAAGCATGGTTGTCTTGTCAGCTAATGCAGTTTTCCATGTCTTTGTAAGCCATTAGGAACTGAATTTGTAAGAAGGGTATACACAAATGCTAAAGATCTTCAGGGGTAGAAGGCAACTTACTGCCGGAGGTAGAGAGAGAGGCTCAGGCGATTCACAGCTCTTAAGTTAAGCTGGACTCCCTTCATTGCTCTCTGAAGGCCCCTGTGTGTATGTGCGTGCACATGTGCAGGTGTGTGTATGTGCTCCAAGGTTAAAGCAGACAATGCCTTTAATATGTGTAACAGTTACAGCAGAATGACTTTATCTTCTGATATTTCAATAAATGAGAGTAACTGTGCAGGTTTTGCACATGATGAGTACAGGTAATGCATCTTAAATTTTCCTTTCATTGAAAGAATCTGAAGATAGGTTGCATTTTAAATAGTGTTCGCTTTTCTGTGCGCCAAAAGCATGTCTAGGTACTTTTTCTCAGCTGGCTTGCAGAGAAAGCTTTTTCACGATTCTGGTCTTCTAAGTCCATTTTTAAATGGACCTTAAGCTCCTACTTTAATTAAATGTTATTTGTTTCACCCCATCTCCTTTTAATCAAATCAGAGTTTAAAAAATAATGAAAGTGTTAGTAATAAAATGAAGTTGTTGGGGTTTTTTTCTAATGAAAGAGCAATAGTAAGTTCTGATCCTTTTGTGCATCAGTCTGACGTATGTGTCTATACTGTGCTTGCTTTATTTGGCATGAGTGTCCTCATATAATAGTTTGTGTTTCTTACAGCTAAGAAACAGTTATCTACTAAGTACTAGTGGATTAACTGTATCCCATAACTGATTCAACAACGTTGAATCAATTTCTCTTTGTTTCAGGTGACCAGACTTTAAGAGTTTGGGATGTGAAAGCCCCAGGAGTCAAACTTGTGATACCGGCCCACCAGGCTGAGATCTTGAGCTGTGACTGGTGCAAATATGATGAGGTATAAACCTGTTCGTCCAACTGTTTTCCTAATTAAACCACTCTCATTAAATAGCGTGTTTTTTTACTGCAACTTTAATGCATCTTCTCTTTATAAAAACATGTCTAGTTGCTTTGTTGCTCTCGTTCGCTATTACATCTTCAGAAGAGCATTGTTCCAACAGATAGACAGCCCAAGTAGATCAGAGGTTTTGCTTATACTTTTGTATAGTGGACAGAATAGTCCATAGTGGAGAAACAGTTTGTATTTCTCTAGTCTCTTTAATTTACACACTGGAGACCTCATTGATAATTTATTCAGCTGTATTGTTTGATTTATCTAACTTTTGTAGCCAACATACGCATCACTGCAATTTAATAATTAAAGTGTCCTGATATATCTGTGTTTTATCAAATCATCAGAACTTGCTGGTAACTGGTGCAGTTGACTGTAGCTTGAAAGGCTGGGATTTGCGGAACATCCGGCAACCAGTGTTCATCTTGCTTGGTCATACCTATGCTATCAGAAGAGTAAAAGTAAGTTGTATTTTATTCCCCATTGACCACCACTGAATTGTTACATGAATTTTTCTGGAAAGCAGTAATATTTTATATTATCTAATAACTAGGAGAAAAACCAACAGGTGTTGAAGATTTTAGATGCTACAGTGACTGTTCTTGGAAACCTTCAGTTTAGCACTGTAAAACATTTTGAAGTTTAGCAGATTGTTGGGATTTCAAAGTAAATGACATCTTCAAAGTCAATATATTTCCATGATGAGTGTTCGAGAGCTTGAGAGAGGGTTGGGAGGTTTACTTCAGCTAAGCTATATGGGAAATTTGAGATAGAGAAAATACCTTCCCTTATTCGTTTTTTAAATGGTGCTGTGCCTTTTTCTTTCCATACAAAGGGTCAATATTCACATAAGGCAAGGTATAGAACTTGTTGTGAATATGTATTTTTGTGTATGCAAAGAAAATGTTAATATGTTCAAAGAGATTTTGAAACTTTATGCATGAAAGGCTACAGATGAATATAGTGGATCTGTGTACTACTCGATCACCCACTGATAGGAATTTGTTCTAGATGCACGATAACATTTTTTTTCATATTAGTGCTTTTTTTTTTATATATTAGTCAGATAATACCTGATCCTTTTAAAGCCTTTCAGGAACAGGTATGTTTATTAATATTTTCTAGGAGGTCTGAACTGGCAGAAAAAACAATTATCCTGACTCAGTATTTTGCTTCACATGCCCTTGGAATTTTTGATGTGCTTCTAACAACTTTAAAAGTTACTGCACTTAAGTTGTAATTTGCCAGAAAAGGGTGTGACTCAGGGAGTGGTTCCATATCACAAATCCTGTTTGTGTCCAGACAGCCTGAGCAGCTCCTACTCCTGCTTATCCCAGCTACCCTTGGCTCCTATCCCCACTGGTGGTGGCTGTCCAGTCTTTTTTTCTAATTTAATTCCTGCATGACTGTGCTCCAATCTAGCTCTGTGAAATGTTCTTCATAGCAGAAGAACATTTAGCAGTGGTGTGTGTTTGTTTTTTCTTGTTTTTTAACAAGATCATTTTGCAACTCCAATTTGACAGCCATTAAGGCAGATGAATCAATACAGTATCAATCAATACAGACTGTCATATTCTTACTCTGAAAGTTAGTGGGATCTTTTAAAAGCAGCTCTGCCGCTAAGGGATTCATAGCACATTGTGTCTTCATGATAAAATGGAGAAAGTAAATGCAGAATTGTTATTCACCATAACCTGTGATAGCAGAACTAAAGTAGAAGATGGGTTTACAAGCAGATGGAATTACTTCTTTTACACATCAGACGGTAGACTTCTTGAATTAGCTCTCTGCACAAGAGGTTGCATAGGCAGGCAGTGTCATCAGGTTCCTGGATAGCAGCTGGTTGATAAACAGATACTAGAAGAGCTAGACAGGGATAGAATCTCTAATTTCTCTACTCTCTATCATCCTGGGCTGCATTAGGAA